AAATCCAAAATTCATCCCCTTAGCTCTGGAAAGATGCTAAACACTGTTTTTGTCTGAGGAGTATCTGTGAGTCTGTACCTGACCAATCCACAGAGTGCTCTTCGAACAGCGGTGCCGGAGATGAAGACAGGCCCCTCACCGTCGCCCCCAGGACCATGTTCATTTCATCCAAAGGCCACACCTTCCTGGCAGCAGGTAGGAAGGACAGTGCCCTGGCACAGGAATTAAAGTGTTTAGCAGCTAAGTGAAAAGATTGCAGTTCAAGCCCACCGGCCCCTAGGAGGGAGATGAGATGAGGCTGTCTGCTTCCACCAAGGTTACAGCCTTAGAAACCAGTTCTACTCTGCACTATCGGGTCCCTAAGACCAGGGCAGTTGACTTGCGGGTTTGTGTGCTACAATGGTAAGATTTGGAAATCAACTCATTCAAAGATACTTACATAACTTATTCAAATAAATCCTTATATGAAACAAAGATTTCTTGTGCATACCCAATATTAACGGGTTTCCAGGACCCCTTCACCTTCCATAATGAAGTCCCAGGCTCAACTACACAGCCCTGTTCACTCTGCCCTCCTGTAGCCTCTCTGTCCTTGTCACCTACCACTCCCCACCATGACTTACTGTAGCCACCTGGCCATGTGGCCTGCCCCCAGCACACCAGACACCCCCTGATGGAGCCTGTGCCCAGAACATTCTCCAGACACCATCTTGGCTCTCTCCCTTAGTTTTCCTTGCATTTGCTCAAGTGCGACTTTCTTAATGAGGCCTCTGCTGTATGGCAGCAGCTTCCCTGCACACACTTACACTCACTCACACAAGTGCACACGTACATTCACAGCCATATGCACACCCACTCACAAACACGTACACGCACACAAATGCACACATGCGCTCAAATACACACACGTACACTGACAAATGCATAGACAGGTTTTCTGATGTTTCAGTCACTAGATGCCCGAGCACGGAGCCAGGCACCGGATGAGTGTGCAGAGCCCAGCGCATCACAGGGGGGTGCTGGCCTCACCAGGGCCAGGAGAGGAGACATGGGGAGCAGCCAGTGGCCAGCAGGGGTAGAATGTTGACCCCGATGCCACTGCGAGGGAGCAAGCAGCCCAGTGGGAAGTCTCAGGCAGGGCTGGGGAAGTGGGCTGTGGCAATGAAGGGCGTCACTCAGAGATTCGAGTCCACAGGGAGCCCTATCTTCCAGACTTTTCACAGATCGAATTGCGGATTCTTGCGCACTTATCTGGAGACCCGGAACTTCTGAAGTTGTTCCAGGAATCGGCACGGGAGGACGTGTTCTCAATGCTGGCTTCACAGTGGTAAGATACCCGCGCCCACCCAGATTGTTATCAGACCTGCAGGAATGCTGGCACGGACTTCTCCCAAGGCTATTTCCACCCGAGAGAAATGACGTTTTTTCTGTCGTAGTTCATCATTTTGGAAAGAAGAGTCAATAACTGGGGCGCCGAGAGTTATAAAAAAGCCGGTCGTTTTTCACGGCTAAACAAAGAGGCCCATTGCTAGTGAGTGTCACAGAATATTGGGGAAAGTGTAAGTCCTATGTCACCCATGTATCAGAGCTGACACAGAGTCAACGTCGCCCCTGGCTCCAGAGGGCGAGCTGCTTGCCTCGGGGAGAAAGTGAGTCGAGCTGGGCCACCACCGCCCAGGGGAGGGACATGGAGCTGGGAAGGAGAAAGGTCCCAGAGGCCCGTGGTGCCAGCGTCACTGCACCCTTTCATTACCCACAGGAGGCTGGCGCTTCTTCCTCAGGGTGGTGAAACACTGGGCCAGCCTGCCTGCCTGCTGGGTGGGCAGTAGCTCTGGTGG